GGATTATTTTCGTGCCTCTAACAGAGAGGAAAATTGCCAGAAAGGGGAAGTTTACTAGGACAAGACTGCCATGCAGAGGAAGGCAGAGATAGTCCTTAATTTATTACTACAATTGAACCCAAAATTTTGGTTGCTAAGCAAGAGCATTGTTAAGTGAGATTCACCACATTTTACCCAATCCATGACATCTCCTGGTGAGTGATATCAAGTTGGCCACGCCCACCCAGTCACATGACTGCCAGGCCATACTCAGTTAAAAAATTGAAACCCACCCCTGGACTAGCGGTGATATAATACTGACAGCAAACAGCACTTTTTACTAGCACTGATGCTGTTACCTAGTTAAGTAATGAAACATCTGCAAAAAAAACCCATGCAAGCTCAGAGAGGACCAAGGACCCCTCATTTCAACCCTCAACTACAAATATTATTTATTGGTGACATGATAGCAGTATTCCAGAATTTCAGGGGCTGCCGCACAGAAGAAGAGGGCAGCTTATTTTCCAAAGCAGCAGAAGGCAAGACAAGAAACAATGGATGGGAACAAATCAAGGAGAAAAGCAACTTGGAATTAAAGAGGAATTTTCTAACAGTACAACCAGTGATACAGCTTGCCTTCAGGAGTTGTGGATGCTTTATCGCCAGAGGTTTTTAAGAAAAGACTGGACAACTACCTATCTGAAATGGTATAGGGCTGAGATTGGTGGCACGCGGAACCGTTTGTCAGGGCATACAAGGCGTTGCCCTGTCAGCAGGGTTCAGCCTTTTTTAAAGCCATTTTTCACCCTCCCCAGGCTCCAGAGGCTTTATAGAAGCCTGGGGAGGGTGAAAGGAGCCTCCCCTCCCCCTGGAGGCCCTCTGGAGGCTTCAGGAGCTTCCCTGAAGCCTTCAGAGCGCCAAAAAAGGCCCTATGGGCAAACCGGAAGTTCAGGAATGCACTTCCGGTTTGCTCGTAGGGTCGGTTTAAGCCCTCCGGAGGCTTCAGGGATCTTCAGGAGGCTTCCCTGAAGCCTCCAGAGGACTAAAAACGACCCTATGAGCAAACTGGAAGTGACTTCCTGTTTGCTCGTAGGGTCCTTTTTAGTCCTCCGGAGGCTTCAGGGAAGCCTCCTGAAGGTCCCTGAAGCCTCTGAAGGGCCTCGGGGGGGGGCGAGGGAGGCTGTTTTCNACACACACACACACACACACACAAACACACACTGACTTTTGACTAAAATCAAGTGTATTATATGGATTAGTAATTTTTCTTCTCAAACTGGTAATTAAAAAATTATTTGTTAATCAAATGTATATAGCCACCCATATCATCAAAGGCAACTCCGGGTAGCGAATATGAATTAATAAGAACAATAAATAAAAATATCCCTAAATTTTTGATCACCTTTTTCAATGAACCTTGATCCTTAATCATACCACATTTTCCTCTGATGGTCAAATTTCAGACCTGTTTTTTTATTATATGCATAGATGTACTGTAAATCAAAATTGGTTAAACTGGAGTGGATTTCCTCTTGGATTACCCAAAGACCTCTCAGATATTTCTCTTCCAGGGACAATTCAATAGTTTGGATAAATAAATACTCTAAACCAGAGATGGATATGGCATTTCCCCCCAAAGTTCTTAGTATCAGTGAGAAACTAAAACTATTCTCAATGAACGTGTTACGAGAACTATTTTTTAAAAAAATGTGTAAATGATGTTAGCCCTGCAGATTGTATGAAAAATCTTGCATCTGCAAGTTATACCTGTATTTACCAAAACAGCAGTACCAAAATTATGATTTACACTCAACATTGTTTCAAGATATGGCTGACAAAGTTTTTCATTTTCCATTCCCCCCCCCCCGCCCCTGCCCTGTCCTGATTCTCTTACATTTTCACTTTCCTTCTGTTCCATGTGCATTCATCAATTTCTCTTCCCCATCTCTATCCTGGGATTTTTCTTCTTTGCTATTTCTTGCAAGAAAAATAAAGGAATGTAAGTGTGTAATATTAATATTTTTCATGGGTGAGCAAGAATGGTTCTCAAATGCAGAACTCAATTAATTTTGAAAATAGGGTGCCATATTTCATAAGGAATTTATTTGAATAGTAGCTATTCATTGAAATTCTAATCCTTCACATGATTTTGATTCTATGCCTCTGTTTATACCCCAAGATTGTATTCACTTTGTGTGTGTGTGGCAGCAACCAAAAAAGCGAATGCAATCTTTGGAGTATAAACAGAGGCATAGAATCAAAGTCATATGAAGGATTAGTACCACTTTTTAAATCCATAGTAAGACCACACCTAGAATACTGCAACCAGTTTTGGTCACCACATTACAAAAAATATGCTGTGACTTTGGAAAAAGTGCAAAGAAGAGCAACTAAGATGATTAAGAAGGTCCTCGAAATAAAGACATATGAAGAACAATTGCAGGAATTGGGTATGGCCCAATTCTAGAGAAAAAAAAGGACTAGTGTAGAGGGGGTTCATCCCGGTACAGTCCGGCACGTCAGAAGAGGTAGTGAAAATCTGGCATATCAGATAGGATTGTAGTAATGGTGGCGTGGCCACGCCCCCAAACCTGTTCTCCCGTCAGAAACTTCATCAGAAGCTTTTTTTAAAAAGTTTTTTTCCCTGCCACTTCAGGAAAGGGGACAAACAGCTTTAAAAAGTGAGAGAGAGAAAGAGGGAGGGAGGGAAGGG